GTTGTTGGTGTTGTTGCTGTTGTTGCTGTTGTTGCTGTTGCTGCTGTTGCTGCTGTTGTTGCTGTTGTTGCTGTTGTTGCTGTTGCTGCTGTTGTTGCTGTTGTTGCTGTTGTTGCTGTTGTTGCTGTTGTTGCTGTTGTTGCTGTTGTTGCTGTTGTTGCTGTTGTTGCTGTTGTTGCTGTTGTTGGTGTTTTTGGTGTTGTTGGTGTAGTTGGTGTTGTTGGTGTTGTAGGCCATCTAGCCTGCTAGGGTCAGTCAGTTGGTTCGTTAGTCAGAACTAGGTAGGTGTTTTGGAGTCTGTCAGGCAATGTTTACAAAGCTACGATGGTCAACAATCAATATGGACTGAGAACCGGCTGAAGCGTTTGATATGGTGCTTGTCCCTTGCATCTCTAGGATATCCCCACGGAACCTGTGCGCACCCGACACCAGCCCAATGTGTTTGGTGCTAACATGCGATAACAATCCTGGTTTTTTCGAAGCAACAAAGTTGCACGAGCGCCAGACGGTTTTGGTATGTGGTATGAGTCTGGAAAACACCTGCCAAGGCCAAAAACAGCAGAACCGCACTCACGCCAATGCCTTCACCTTTGCCGTTAAAAGGCTTGGCCGCGATGAGAAGGCGACAGTGCCGAGGGTGTTCGGAGCGTTTGAGACCCATGGAGCTTCCATACGGGATCGCTCTAAGCCAAGAGAACACCTACCGTAGCAAGCGCCCGGAGCCTGAAGAATTTCAAAGCCAACACCAACCAAACACCACCCGCGTAGGGCTTCCAGTATTGCGTTACCTCAAATTCAGCGCTGAAGCTGCCCTTACACGACTCACTCAGGTCCAAACCAGAAATTTGTACAGTGCTGGACTCGCATCGGCCGATTGTGCAATTCTTGGCAATTGCACAGCTGCCATTTGAAGGAGCGCTCGTCCAAGTGCACCGGATTGCTGCTGAATGTTTGTCTCAGACCCTTGGCCGCAAGCTGATTAAATGTCCTGCGGCTCTTGCTGAATTTGTGTAATGCTTGTGAACTTGAAAAGGTTGCCGTGTCAGGCTTGGATACTTCGAGCCATTGCCAAACCAAAAATTAAAGTTCCAAAGCGGACCTGTTTACGAGTCTAAGTGCGATTGCCTTTTGGCTTTGAAATTACTGGAGAAAACTGCGCGACGGTGTTTCCCCTCAGACTGCTTAATCAAAGGTTATGGCGGTCGCGGTGACATCATCTCAGCCTGTCGGAATCTTGCAACGCAGGCGGGAGGCGTTGCGCGGCAGTTCTGTGCCCAAAACACGAGAGTCGATTCCCAACCTCGCACCAACTGATGAGCAGTCAGCCTTCGGTGATGTTTTTGACTGCTAAGCTGCTGACCTTAAATCAGCTAAAAGGGTGCCTCTTCTGCAAGAGCGACATATTGAAAGCATAGAGCACTCCATGATGACTGTTCGCTGACGGCAAGTCTCAAGTGGGAAGAAGAACCGAAGCAGGGATGCTTGTGGTTGCATACCTAGCTGTTGCAAAGTTTTCTTCGCCACGCCCCGTCAGTCGTTGTCAAGAGCATTTCAAGGACATCAATTCCTTAACATGGTCAAGGAAGATCGAAAGGTGCTGGTTCTTTCTCAGGGTGCTCTTGTCCATTGTTTTCGTGTTTTAGTGGGGCGTAGTGTACCAAGTTTGAGCTTTGTGAAGAAGTAGAGCTTGAAGAAGTCGGGTCCATAGGCCAAGGTCAGGTTCTTTCGCCTGGGAGGCCAGCGAAGGTCTGTTGGAGGTTGGCAGCATTGACGAGGATTTGGCCAGCTTCTCAGCGCTTTCCTGCCACATTGTCTCTTTCCCAGAATTCTCACGTCTGCTTGGGGGAGTCATGGGATGCCTTTCTTTTCAATCAGTGAGTTGCCATGTGTCCTGTTCGCGCAGGAAGGCATGATCCATGGTATCGGCAGGTCAAGAAACACCTCCTCACCGGTGACATCCCGGACCCAGATGTCCTGATACGAACCTCCGGGGAACGCCGGTCGGGTCCTTGCAAACCGATCGTTTTGATGCCACAAGTTTTTGCCACCACACGGCGGAATGAGGCTGAGCAACTTCCTGATGTTCCAGTTGGCTTATGCGGAGTTTTCTTCCTGGAGAAGCACTGGCCAGAGGTGCGCTTCCAAGATGCCATGGTCATACTTGGCTTGCCTTGCAGCGCAGCAATCCATGAGGATGACTGCAGCGCGCTTTGCCTGCAGGTTGCGCATAAGGACCTGCTGAGCGTAGTCGCACAGTTGGCCACCCAGACTCGATCGCTTCACGCATGGGACGGACTGCGCATTTTGGTTAGCTTAAGCTGAGTTGTCTTCAGCCTGTTCGATAGATATGTGGAAGCTGAGGTTCCAGAAGCGCCATCGCCGCTTCGGAAAGTAGCTATCGCAAGCTGCAACTTTCCATTCCGTTTCCATTCCGTCAGAGTTGAAAAAGACGTGCAGGGATTTTCCCGACGAGGGCGTGATTTTGATGCCTTGGGGATGCCTGGCTTATGAAACGAGGGAAAGCGTGCGTTCTGAGCAGTTTGCGGGAATTAGACGGACCTGCTGGCAGATCAATGTCAACAGTCGTTTGCCGGTAGCAGCGTCCTGTGGAAAACACCTCTGTTTCCGTCATTTCTTTCTGCATCTGCTGTTGCATCCTTGTAGCTATCCACGCTTGTTGTGATCCGAGGGCGGTTACTGCAGGACTGCACCTCGCGCCATCCCATGCCTCAATTGGCATGTGGCTTTGCGCTTGTCGGGTAAAGCGTGCTCGGTCCAAGCACACATTCGGCGTTTGCAGCTGACGGACAGAACCAATCTAACTGCTTACGACAGAGCTGCAAACGCGCCCTGGATATCCAAGTGTTTGTCTCTCTGCAGCCTAAGGAGGTTGCGCATTGCACTATACCTGCCCGCAAGCTGCAACTTTCAATTCGGCGCTTGCTGTGTCGCTGTTGCATATTTGTTGCGGCATGTGTGGGTACATGGTACTCAGCATGATTTGGATTGCTGCAACTGGTCCAGTACAATTTTTAGAGCTTGTATCGCCAGTCAAACTATTCCTGCCAGGGAAATACTAGAACTCGCAACTTAAGCATTGACACAAAGACCCCTAGTCTTTGAGCATAATGATTGAAGGAATATGTTCATCCCAATGGCAATGTATTTGCTAAATGCTAGCCTGAATGATGCAGATGTTGGTTGGCTTGCCAAAGCAACACTTGAGATTGACTTGCTTTTATCCCAAAGCCGCCTGAATTTGTCTCGAATAAGTTGAATATTCACGGCCCCTAGGCCCCCGAAGAGGTACCCCAAATGCATGCGTGATTGAGGCCTCTTGTGATGCATGTTGAAGTTGATTCCCGCCATCGCCAATGTGCTTCGGCTCAAGTATTTGTTGCCCATGGTAAAAGCAGGGTTTGCGCGTATATATGTATGTAATGTGTGTATGTATGTATGTATGTATGTATGTATGTATGTATGTATGTATGTATGTATGTGTATGTATGTATGTATGTATGTATGTATGTATGTATGTGTGTAATGCATGTATGCATGTATGCATGTATGTAATGTATGTATGTATGAATGTATGTATGTATGAATGAATTGATTGAATGAATGAATGAATGAATGAATGAATGAATGAATGAATGAATGAATGAATGAAATAATGAATGAATGAATGAATGAATGAATGAATGAATGAATGAATGAATGAATGAATGAATGAATGAATGAATGAATGAATGAATGAATGAATGAATGAATGAATGAATTGAATGAATGAATGAATGAATGAATGAATGAATGAATGAATGAATGAATGAATGTATGAATGAATGAATGAATGAATGAATGAATGAATGAATGAATGAATGAATGAATGAATGAATGAATGAATGAATGAATGAATGAATGAATGAATGAATGAATGAAATGAATGAATGAAATGAATGAATGAATGAATGAATGAATGAATGAATGAATGAATGAATGAATGAATGAATGAATGAATGAATGAATGAATGAATGAATGAATGAATGAAATGTATGTAAGGAATGTAATGAATGTACTGTATGAAATGAATGCAATGGATGAATGCATGAAAGACGTCCAAAAACATAGAGTTTTTCAAGATTTTCGGCAAAAGGATGCAGGAAGCCCAAGCCAGCAAAAAAGCCGGCAGGGGGAATCGAGCCTGGGACCCCTGTTTTGCGACACCGGCTCCCCGAAGACTACGTTTAGTGGAACGTCATCAAATTGCCGCGCGGTACGCGGGGGAGGGGGGGGGGGTGAGGCCCACCGCCCCAGGTGCCTATCCCAGAAGGGAACTGGTACCCTGTCTGTGGTAGTAGAGGTCGTTGATTTGGTCCCTGGATCTATTCCGGAGAGAATCCAATATGGCCGTAGCCTTGATGTATGCCGTAGCCATGCTGTATTAAAAATGCTGGATTCATCCTCTTTTCTGCTCGGATGAAATGTCTTGGCTTTCGAAATGGAAAACACTATGTACTGCTTCTCTTTGAGATACCTAGATGTATCAAAGGGTGATGCACATATGTACACGCGGGACGCTTGTGAAACTATTGATCTCTCACTCATTGTATAGTCTTGTAGACGGCGAGGGTCAATCATCTGAATTGAGTTCGTGTTGCTGAACGTATGAATCTTCATGGTCAGTCGGATCGACGATACCATCGGCGGCTGCTGTCGGATTGACTGCCACAGTCTACATAATCATTCCAGGTCGAGGTGCTATAGTCCTTCCACTGCTTCTGATGTCCCCACTGCTTGTTGTAGTCCTTGTACTCCTGCAGGGTCCAGGCTTGTTTCTTCTTGATGTACTCCTGGTATCTCTCAGAGTTGCGTTGCCTGGTTGCAGATTTGCTGCGGATGTAAACCATGAGGGGACTGTGAGAGTCGGAGTCCTGCGAGCCATTCATGAACATGTCATTGTTCACGTGCTTAAAGCGCTCTGCGGATGAGACCTGGTAATCGAATATGGCCTTGGTTAGATCGTTCCGCATGAGTTCCAGTTGTTCATCATCCATGCCGTTCATCTCGTCCTTCCGGAAAGTCTGCTGGATCTTCGTTTTGCCCCATCCAAATACGAAAGTCATCATCACATCTGGGAATGTTCGATCATATCCTGATCCACACTTCATGTACAGGTGATGACGGACAATGGATTTCAGGGTGCACGAAGTCTCCATTGCATACTCCATTCTGTCCACGAGTGGCAAATCTTGTTTTTCTCTCCATGATCGCATCGCATCGGTACAAAGTCACGAGCGGCATGATTTCATTCTGAAGATCTTCCCATGCTGCTCCACGGCTGATTGAAGGATGAATGTGGAAAACTCCAATGGTAGCGAATGGGAGATCTGCCCTCGTTATGTGGCGGTCGTCATACTCGTGGAGTGACTTGTTGGATGATTTCGGGATCATGCCACGAAACTCATCAGTCTGCTCAATATGGAGAACGACGATCTCCTTGTCTCGGCCATGTCCTTGGACAATGGTGCGTGCTGGCAATCTCGGTCCAATGTACTTCTTGGATTCAGTAAACATGGATGGTCCTGTAGTTGCCAAGCAATCCGAGGTCGGAATTTCGTATTCGGGATTAGTGCAACTTCCTTCGGTTCCGAAGAAACATCTGAACATTCCGAATGCGGTTCCCCAATTCTGGCTCTTGGTGGAAATGTGTCTTGCCAGAAGTTCCACTCTTGCAGAAGGTCCGCCACGGACAAAGCATGCGATCGGTCTGGATGACCATTGCTTGATCACGATGCCCTTGTACCCGAATCGGATGAACGTCTTGATGAGCTCCCTGGATTTCTCATCATTAGGACTGAAGAATGCGTCTGCTTCATTCAGGCATAAGATGTGTGCACTGTTCTGCATCATCATCTTCACGATCGGTCGATCCTTCATCGGCATGTTGTACACCTCCCTGTTTTCCAGCTTTGGATTCCTCGTGAGGTTTCCATGGTTCAGGGTAAGCATGTTGATCGCTATGGATGAGGTGAACTCATGCATCTTGAGATAGTCCACAGGAGGACGGTCGGTCGGTTGCATCAGCGATCCCAGGATATCGGCATAGGCTCGGATGATTTCCGGGTCATCATGTGACCTAAGCTTCTTCAATCCAAGTGGAAGCTTAATCGGATATCCGGATCCTGGTTGAGCTTGCTTGTACTCGTCCATGGTGGGACATTCTCCTCGATGAGGGAAGTAGAATTCTTCTTCTCCGAGATTGACATCGGGATCGACATGTGCCAATGAGGCTCTCTCGCACTCTGTCAAGTTGGGATGAGCTCTTCTTGGATCTTTGTTGTGCTTGTTCATGAAGCGGAGGAGGTTTGCCTTGGTCTCCGCGAGCTCTTCCTCTGCGTCCTTTTTGTTCAAATCTGTTTCGAGATAGATTCCCTTGAGTTCTTGGATGAACTCGTCTAGGTTCTCTGAATTATGATATTCCACGGTGACCTTTGGCTTGACGGATCTTTCCCCGGAGGGTTCCATGGTCTCTTCTTCAGCTTCGTCCTGATCGGTGGAATGCCGTCTCTTCTTGGTCTCTGAGGAAGTATCTTTTTCCTTGCTGTGCTTTGTGAAATTCACGTAATTGAAGAAGGCATCGGCAAATTCGCGGATCTTGGTGTCGTACATCTCGTAATCTTCATAACTGAGATGCTTCTTCATGATCCACTTGTTGCTCGCCATGAGGCTGCCATCAGGTTCAATTGCTGCAACAATGTTTCTTGCCTCGATGGTTTTGTCTGTCAACGCTGTTCGCTCTTCGGAGAGTCGGATGCCATAGTCTTGGTCCTTGAGGAATGCAAGGATCAACAGCGCATCTCTTCCTGCTGGCACATGGGTCAATGCGGCTTCTGACTCATCGTCGTCAAGGATGACGTCATCGATGCATGCCACGTGGACGTGCATTCTCCTCGAAGGGTTTGACTGGGATTTCCCAGATTTGAGCCCGTGCTCCATGATGCTGAAGAGCTGATTTCCATAGGTTGCATGGAACATGAATGTGATGGGCTTCTTCGCGAACGGCTTGATTTTTCTCTCTTCTTCAATGGATGGTGGCGCCGGCCTTCGCATTCTGTGCTTGGGCTGAGCTGTGCCTTCATCTTCATGAGGCGCCTCGGATCTTGACGGATGCGGACTTGGCGGAATAGAGTCCGTTGGTAGATCATAGTCCGGTTCGTCGTGTTGAGGCTCTTTCTGCTGCTCAGAGTACAGGGGTCGTCCAAAGGATTGGATCTCGACTTGTCGTGTGTGTCCGCTATTGCATCTCACATAGAACTCCATCTCTGGATCGACATAGAATTCCTTGCCATCGGGCCTGAGTGCATTTTGTGCGGATCTTGTGGTGAGCTTGTCGATCCATCGATTCCTTGGAACAATTTCTCCCCGTGCCTTGCGCTCATTCTATGACCCGTCCACGGATGGAAATACGAATGCAATTTCGAAATGTGATTTTCCATAGCTCGGGAACATAGCCATCAAGAGAAGTCCTGGCTTATTTCCAATGAAGTTCCTGGCATGTGTGATGCAGGTCAATGCGTCATAGAGCTCGACGGATCCATCAGGACCCATGTCCACTTGTCGTCTGCATTCCTTATGGATTCCATGCCTTG